GGCTCTCTCTCCACTGTCATTTGTCCCTCAGACATTCTGCTCTCCGACCTCCAGCCAGGTGGCTCTTCTCGGCTATTTTTAGACTCGGCATGTCTTCTGGCTGCCTCTCAGGAAGCAGCTACTTGGGTGGTGCTCACTCTTTCAGTCCTAGGACTAAACTCTCCTGAGTGGGGAATTACCAATGCATCGAGGCCGGGCTTTCCTGGGTCACACTTCTGGTGAATGTTCTTGAGGTCAGCAGCAATTTTTTTTCCCTCTCTGACAAGCTGAGCTGTACATAGTGACAAATGAAACCTGGCTGCTTTGCATGTTCTTGGGGGCCTCTCAGTCAGGCGGTTCTTCTGGAACATTCCAGCTGGTCTCATTCCTTTTGAAACACCGCCCCCCCCTTCCCTTGGCCTCACTGGAGAGGCCAGGCAGGTGTCTGAAAGGACACTCAGTCTAAACAGGGACTCTCCGTGTGCTCATGAGGCCCACCGTTCTGCCCAGGGAAGTGGGAGGCAGCAAACCCTCTGGTGGGAAATGAGCCACAGTGTAGTCACCTTAAAGCCACAAGAGTCTGGGAGGAAACTGAAGGAGGACACTAAAGCCAAAGCTGAAATGCCAAGGGGAAATGGGAGCTAACGAACTGGGCACGGGGTGCCAGGGAGGTTAAGCTAAGGGGTTGCCAGGGGCTGGGCAGGGCCTGGGCTCTGAGGACCCATCCCTGGGGGTCAGGGTTTCTAGCCGAAGGGAGACTTTGGGGCCCACACTTCTCACCACTAGACTCAATAATGTGAAGCACTTTGTCATCCAAAGGCAAGAGAGAGAATGCAGTGTGGACGGAAATCTCCTATCCCCACTGTTGCCCCATTGGCCAAACTGTTATGGGGACAAAGGAGGCAACGCAGGAAAGACAGCAGGAAACCATTTTATTTGGCTGCAGCCATGTTCAGAGGGCACAGCTTTTGCTGTAATCCCCTGAACCCCGAGTTCAGGGAGTTTCAGAGTTTTATACCCAGCATGTAAGGGGAGGGGCTCAGAAGTTCACAGTCTGCAGAAGTTCACATAAAAGCAGCTTTTTCTTTCACTGTTTTGGGCAAGTTAACCCTTCAAGGACCACACCTGAGCAGGGGAGAGCTTCTTCTCCCCTTTCTTTCCTCCCCCTGCCAGCTGTTACCATGGAGCCCAGTTGGTAACTTATCTTAAAAATGTAGACATCGAGCCTGCGGCCTGTGTCTATGGTCCCACCCCGGACAGAGCTCGAGTGTATGGCGCCAAAGGAACCAGCTCCGGGGTCCCTATAATGGGCCTGCCCTCATAGCTCTTGGCCTGCAGTGAGGGTCTCCCCTTATCTGAGAATGGCTACCTCACGATATGAGCCAGTGGATGAAATTGGTGTCTGTGCCTATGGGACGGTGTATAAAGCCCGTGATCCCCACAGTGGCCACTTTGTGGCCCTCAAGAGTATGAGAATCTCCAATGGAGGAGGAGCTGGAGGGGACCTTCCCATCAGCACAGTTCATGAGGTGGCCTTATTGAGGCGCCTGGAGGCTTTTGAAATCCCAATGTTGTCCGGCTGATGGATGTCTGTGCCACTTCCCGGACCGACCAGGAAATCAAGGTGACCCTACCGTTTGAGCATGTTGACCAAGACTTAAGGACCTATTTAGACAAGGCATCACCCCCAGTCTTGCCAGCCGAGACCATCAAGGATCTGATGCGCCAGTTTCTAAGAGCCTAGATTTTCTTCATGCCAATTGCATGGTTCATCGGGACCTGAAGCCAGAAAATATTCTGGTGACAAGTGGTGGGACAGTCAAGCTGGCTGACTTTGGCCTGGCAAGAATATACAGCTACCAGATGGCCCTTACACCTGTGGTTGTTACACTCTGGTACTGGGCTCCCGAAGTTCTTCTGCAGTCTACATAGGAACCCCTGTGGACATGTGGAGCGTTGGCTGTATCTTTGCAGAGATGTTTCGTGGGAAGCCTCTCTTCTGTGGAAACTCTGAAGCTGACTGGTTGGGCAAAATCTTTGACCTGATGGGGCTGCCTCCAGAGGATGACTGGCCCCGAGATGTGTCTCTACCCCGGGGACCCTTTCCTCCAAGAGGACCTCGCCCGGTGCAGTCAGTGGTGCCTGAGATGGAGGAGTCTGGAGCTCAGTTGCTGCTGGAAATGCTGACTTTTAACCCACACAAGCGAATCTCTGCCCTCCGAGCCCTGCAGCACTCTTATCTACATAAGGAAGATGATCCAGAGTGAGCACTGGAGTAACTGCCACAAAGGGAAGAGATGCTGCCATTTTCCCTCTTCTGGACACTTGAGTGGAGAAAACCCCATTGAGAAGCCTTTCTCTCTGTGGCTGTGAAGATTCCTCCAACTTTTTACAGAGAATATTTTGCTGCCTTAATGACATTTTATACCCACCCTTCCTTTTGAGGTTTATCCTTCTCCTGCCCCCCCATTTCTATACACCAAGGAGTCTATCTTTCCTCCCCTTCCCTACCTTGATATTGGGGTCCTTTTTTTATACAGGAACAAAACAAGACAAAGAAATAAAATGTACACATCTCTGTGAAGCCCAGCTCAAGGCCAGAGGCCTTGTTTGCACATTTCTACATAGTACTATACTGGATATGTTTGTGAAAAACTAGTAAGGGGTGTCCAGCACCTGGAGTGCTGGTACCTTCTCGGCCAGTGGCCAAATAAAACAGGGCGACACGAAAATAGAAAGTTTATTTACATTGAACTCTTTTTCAGAGACTCTTTTGCTGATAGTCCTAAAGCCAGTCTGGGTGAAGATTTCTGGAGAAGCCCACTTAAGTCTTTTCTGTGGAGAAAGGGGGTGCCACTTCAAAACCACACCTTGGAGCACCTTGGAGATCCCCCAAGCCAAAGGCCCCTGCAGCAAAGTAGCAGGAAGAGGGGTACTGGGAAGGGACTGAAGAATGTGTTCCCCTTTCCCCACCCCATGCCAATCCCCTGCTACATCCACGACTGTGGTCAACCCTGCCGGGGCCAAACCACCATCAGACAGGCCAACTAGTCGGCGACACCTGTTCCTGTCCAATTCTCTCATTCCATAGACTGAGGCCCAGAGAGGTCAAGGGATGTATTTGAGGTAACAGCCTATTTTGGAGAGAGGCAGAAACTCAAATCTAGTTCTCCTGATGGCTATACCAGGGCCTTTCCACCCAACCTCTCCACTTTTCTTTTTGAAGTAAGATCCAAAATGCCTGGAGACTTCCACAAAGGCTGAGGAACACAGGCTCCCACGAGTCTGCAAATTCATGGAAGAGAAGCAAAGGGAAGATCATGGCCACTGTGAACATTCGTGTGGAAATCCGGCAGCGTGACCTGTAGAGCCAGGAGAGAAGTCCAACTCAGTGTTGAGGAAACAAGAGTTAATTTTTTCAAAACACTCGGCAGAGTTGAAAAACAGTGTGTTCCAAAACAAGTAAGTTCTGTTGACTGAGCAAACATATTCTTATTCCTTTCATTGTTCTGGGCCTCACTGCAAAGACTTAAAAAAAACACACAAACAGAGTTACTCACATTGCTAAAAATCTATAGGTTCCAACATAATGAAAGAGGTTTTTTTTTTTTTTTTTTTTTTTTTTAATGCTCAAAGCCTAAAGGTTCTCTGCCCTGGACAGGGGACTCCCTGAGGTCTGAACAGAGGGCCCCATTTGCCAGGGAACCCTTTTCCACGAGGCTCCAGAAAGCAGGCTTCCCTGACAGCTTGGCCTTTCCCGGAGCTGGGGCGGGGCCAGGGGCCCACTGCAAGCTCAAAGGCAGGCCGGTCTCCAGGTCCCCAGGGACGTGGACAGAATTCTGTCTAGCTTGGCAAAGCGGTGGCAGTTCAAGGACAGCGGGGGCTCCACAACTTCCAGGGCTCCTGAGCCTTCAAGCTTTGCAGTGGGGGTGGGGGTGGGGGTCTGAGAAGTGCTTGAAGGGCTTTGGGTTCCAACCCCAAGAAGGAGACAGGCTCCAGGACTAAGTAACCTTGAAGTGACCTTGAAGGAGGTAGACTACACTTGAAGACGCTCCATCCCTTCGGCCGTCCTGGTGGCACTAGGAGAAGGCACAGCTGTCACACACCAAGCAGATACATCCAGAGCGGTGATGCCCTCTCATTTTTGCCCCACTCGTTCCAGTATTGTGGGTGCCAGCGTTCCATGGGTTCAGTCTGGGCCAACTGGAGTGCCCCTCCCTGAGCCAGGTGTAAGTCCCACCTCCATCCTCCTCTTCTCTCCCATCTCTGCTTAGGGCTAAGCCCATCTGCCCTCTCATCCTTCCCTGGCGGGTCCTCTCACCCACCAGGGACTAGATCTGCCCCTTCCTTTCGGATCCGTTGCCTCTTGGCACCCCCACCCCCTGCTCTCGCCAGGTGTCCCCACCTCTACTCTCCCTCCTTCCCCACACCTGCGGCCAGCACCTCTCAGACTCCTCCACTCTCTCCCGGCCTGGGGGCTCATCTTCCACTCCTGTGTCCGTGTCTGTCCCCCCCCCCCCGCCCCCGGCAGACCCCACTCCTCGCCTGCAGGCCCAGCAGGGCAGGTGGCAGCGATGTCCTTTCCCCAGCCAGCCAGCCTCCCTGGGCGGGAACAAGCCCAGGGCCCAGAGGAGAGTCCAGCCTGTTTTTCAAATCGTGGGTCAGTACCCATGAGTGGGTCTAAAATTCATGTTAGTGGATCCCAACCAGCATCAAAAAGAGAGAAACAGAACAGAAAAGAATGGAGGCCATCAGCCCTTGCAAGAAGTGTTGTTTCTCCAATCCTTCTGCTTGGGTTGGTTCTGTATGTGGGTTCTAGTCTCAGGGAGGTGGCTGAGGAAATTTGCATGTTGTGTAGGCTCAGAGGGCCCCCCTTGCTCAGAGCTCCCAGGGCCCCTACAGTGGACTCCTGGCTGTCCTGGTGGTCGGAGGCAGGGGGTTACCAAGGAAGGTGAGTGGAGAGGCCAAGAAGCACACCCAGCTCCTTGACTCAATTTGCACACAAATGAAAGACTGAAATCTTAATTAAGGATCATAAAGATCAAAAGACAATTTTTTAAAGAGATAGGATCTTCCAAGGAATTTTCCATACAACTCCAGCTGCTGCTTCTCCAGTCTGTGAAAAGGAGGCTCCGAGGACATGCCCAGGGGAAGTGGGGTCCAGCCTCAGTTTGGAAATCTTCCACCTTCTACAGTCGGATCATCAGATGCTAGGACTTAACACGGGCGCATGGCCAAGCGTGGAGTTACTGGCAGTAGAAGGTGAGCACGTTTTCCTGGTTTCCCCGGATCAGGACGACGGGAGGCCTGAGATCCTGGGACAGGGTCTCCAGCCAGGCCATGTACAGCGAGCTGGGGCACTTCCCCTTCCTTCCTATGGGCAAGGTGCTGCAAGACAGGAAGAGGGCAGGAGGGGAATCACCCAGGGTCTTCCCACCCTGAGAAAGACCTTCCTGCCACCCTCCAGGGCATTACTCAAAACATACCTTCAGCCATGAGGCATTTCTAAACAAAACCATGGCCTGCATGTCCCCTGTGGGGAATGCTCCATAGTCCCCACCAAGCCTCACAATCTCACTTTCTCCCATCCTCAGCCTCACACATACCTCTTTAGCCACAGAGGCTTTCTTTCCTTCCTAAAATTACCCAAATATGCTCCTGCCTCAGGGCCTTTGCACATGATCCATCTGGAAGGCAGAGCCCCAGCTGTTCACCGTGCTGGCTCCTTGAACCACTCAGCTCTCTGCTTACGTGCATCTCCTCTGGTCATCCTCCCCAAAGGAGGCCACCCATCCTCTTTATCCTCTCACCCTACTTTATTGTCTTCATAGACTTTTGCAATCTCAAAAGCATCTGTGGAAGTATTGATTTGTTATCTGCCTTGCCCACTGGACTGTGTGTTGGTCTGCAGGCAGGCTGGGTCTGTCCTGTTCCCTGCCCTTTCCCCTGTTCTAGAACACGGTCTGACACAATTAGGCCAGTGTGTGTTTGTTAAGTGAGAGGTCCCACCCCATCTGCCACTCACATCAGGCCAGTCTTGCTTTCAGCCACATGCCTGCCTGTGGCCACCCAGTGTGTCCTGTTCATGGGCTGCAGCAGAGTGTCCTTGCCCTGCCCCCACCCTGCTAAGTCCTGGGAGCGGATCCCACCGCTGCCTCTGGAGGCCCTTATCTGTGTTGTGCTGAGCAGATACCCAGATGTCCCCTGGAACGCTGTTCAGTCATGTTTTTGTGGCTATTTCAGGAAGTGACTTTTCTTTCATCTTGAGAATTCCAAAAATGTTTCGGGATGGCCACCACAGCTGGGTGCATGGCTCTGGCAGAGACCCAGCTGGCTACCCTTCCTTAGCCAGGACTGCCCTTGGCAGGTGTCTGTTCTCCCTAAAGTCCATTCACTGGTTGATCATTTCATCAACCTGGACACAGCCTCGAGGGCGGGCCTGGCCTGCAGCACTGACCCCCTGGCTGGGGCAGCAGCAGGCAGGCAATGCGGAGCAGTGTGGGGACCAGAGCTCAGGCTCTGGGCTCAGAGAAGCTGCCAGTCACGGCTTTGGCAAAGTGCTTGACATCCTTGGGGACACAGGTCGGGCCCTCCAGGAGACGCTCACAGGCTGGGGAGCCGCACCTGGCACAATGGAAGCAATCTGCACATCAGCAGCTGTTGTCCCCACTTACGATTGACCGGCAGAGCAGGGCCTCAGCCAGGGCCTTGGGATCATTCCAGCCGCTGACTCTGCTCACCGCAACCCCCACGCTCCTCTGAGCAGGCTGAGGGGGCGGCTGGGAGCCCAGAGAGCTGCTGCCTCATACTTAGAATTCCTCATCAAAGCCTCGCTAGGGACGAAGCCACCCTCCTTTAAACAAGCAAGGTCCCGAGGACTGGAGAAGTGGTGGGAACAAGGGCACCCACTAAGCTATTGCCATCCTCCTTTGACTTTCCAGGAAAAAGACCCAGGAGAATGTAAAACCAGGCTCTCCAAAGGGGCTGTCCCGAAATGTCACATTGTTTTCACAAACTTCAAAGCCCATGAGGGAACTGGTCCCTGCAAGGTGAGGGGCAGCGGGTACCCATGACTCCCTCGGTTCCTTTCAAGCTTCAGAACAAGGTTCCTTCCCATAGGGGACTGTCCAACTGTCCAAGGGACAGATGCCTTTACCACTCCCAGCACCAATCAATGACACCCTTTATCCCTCTGCACAGGATGCACCATCTTAAGCTACTAATCTTCAGACACAAAGCCGCTCCAAAACAAAGGGGCTTTGTGTTCCCGATCACATCTCTTGGAGCTAACTAGATGCGGAAGGCTTGCCCTGCAACAGGACCTAGGGACAGGAACCCGGATCTGCACTCCCCACCCATGAGGCCCCTGGCAAGTTGCCTAATTCCCGAGGCAGCTCTTCCTCTCTGAAATGAGACTGCAGAGGTTGATTCAAACACAGTTTTGAAAATTAGTAAGGCCCAGTGCCTTGAGTACCACAGAGGTCCGATTCATACAGTGCAATGTCCATGAGCACTGTCCCACTTTGAGGAGAAGGCCGTTACAGAAGAAAGAGGTGTCTGACCCCAATAGGAACAGGTTGTTGGGACAGTAAAAGGCTGTTGGGCGGTTGACCAGGCTGCTTTGGCAGCTGTGCAAGTATGGCCAAGCTAAGGTTCAATGCCCAGTTTAAAAAAAAAAAAAAAATCCAACAACAACAGAATTTCTGGGGAATGCAGGATCCTGGGCTCCTACAGTTGTCCAGCGGCTCAGAAACCCCGGCCTGCCTCCAGCTTGGAGATCACTAGCACAGATGCAGCTGTCTGTCCTCCCCATGGAGGTGACCCAAGAACCCAGGGCCGCTGTGGGCAACAACTGTGGCTGGGACGTGGGCGAGTGGGTGCAGCTGGCTTCTCCAAGGCGCCAGAACACTTCGCCATTTGTATCAGCTAATTCCGTAAGGATGCTGGGCCGAGGATGGGCTTTCCCTATGCAGCCTTGGGGTAAAGCGGGAGAGGAGAGAAGAGACACCAGCCCAGGTCGCCTGTCATGATGAAATTCCTCATCTTAAAACCCGAGAGAAGGACTCATTCCAATAAACTTGGAATCATGGCATGTTAGCAAGAAAGAGCATCTTGGAAATACTAGCCCCTAAGTCTTCTTTTGATCATTAGGGAAACAGGGCCAGAGAGAAATGGGGTCACTTTACCCACAGTCACACAGTGAGCTAGTGTGCAAACCTGCTGCTCTGAACAGAGGTGGTACCACAAAGCTGTGATTTGCACACCCGTGCACAAGCAGGGGCACACCCACCCGGCTCCCCACCTAAGGAAACGTCTGGAAGCCATTAGACAGGATGAAGCTGCTGTCTTGCCTTCTGATCCCGTCCACACCCTGGGTCATCTGTGCTGGAGAACATTCTCTGCTAGGCTGAAGGCTTGAGATAAACGGGGTCCCTTTCTTTATCACTGTTTCCAGAGGAAGGAAACTCGAGCACTTTCTTTGCAGAATAATCATCTCCCTAAACTCCGCAGGATCTATTGTTTGGGGGCAGAATGGGTTTCTTGGGCATGCAACCTGGGTGGTCACTCGGGGGCCCAAGCTCAGAAGGGTTTCCGCATGATTTAAGGCTCTGCTGTCATCATTTTGACATGCCTGAATGGCATAGGAAAGTGCTGCGAGGGGGAGTTCCTCTCGCATGGTTGTGCTGCAAAAGATGCAGGGAGCTCACCCCCAGGCAAAGCACAGGCCGTCCTGAGAGCACCTGGGGCCCAGGGAAGGACTCCTGTGCTCTTATGCTAATCTGCCCCAAACAGCGACTTCCACACGGCATAGGGTGCTAGAATTATTAAGAATTCTCTAGGTCCCACTATACAGGTGCATATGGAGAGACTGGAGGGACAAAGTTAGCAAGTCCTAACAATGGGCTATGGCCTGAATATGGGTGTCCCCCAACTCACCGGTTGAAATCTTTACTCCCAGGGCTCTGGCATTAGATATTAGGTTTTAGGAGGCAGGACTTTTAGGTGAATAGGTCCTGAGAGCCGAGCCTTCATGAGGGGAATCTGTGCTCTGGGAGGCATTGGGAGGCTCCCTGGATCCTTCCACTATCCTGCCTCAGCCTCTGAGTAGTAGGACTGCAGGTGTGCACCACCTGACATATCACTGGTGGGTAGGGCCATCGCCCAGAGTCTTGGACCCTCTACATGAGCACACACTCCAAGCACAGTGTGTGGTGGCCTTCTCTCCAGAGAAAAGCAATCTCCATGACATTTACTACTTACGATATCGTGGCTGCTCTCCAAGGCAGCCCTTACTTTGCAGATTTATGGGAATGTTCAAACACGTGAGTGTTGAAATACCTGCTACGCAGTTGTATGCCCACACCCTCCATCTACAATGACATTCCTCCTATGATCATTTATGTTCCACCTCTGTCCCCTCCTTCCCAGCACCATGAGACGTTTTTAGGGAAAAAAAAAAAGCATATTAGCCAGGTGTGGTGATGCACACCTGTAATCCCAGCAATTCAGGAGGCTGAGGCAGGAGGATTGCAAGTTCAAGGCTACCCTGGGCCACTTAGTGAGACCCTGTCTCAAAATAAAAAAGGGCTGGGGTTGTAGCTCGGTGGTAGAGCACTTGTCTAGCATGTGTGAGGCACTGGGTTCGAACCTCAGCACCACATAAAAATAAATAAACAAGTAAATATGCTGTGTCAAAAATATTTAGCTTTAAATATATATGTATAAATAAAAAATAAAAAGAATGTAGCTCAGTGAGAGAATGTTCCAGGATTCAATTTCCAATACTAGAGGAAAAAAAAAAAAAAGAAAGTCCATGTATCCGGTGTGGGAATGTAAGAGCTTGCTTTGGAAAGGAGGCCCGCAGCCCAGCACGCTGACCAGGGGCCATACATTTTCATTTTATCAGAAGGCCTGCAAATTATGTGGTTGAGCTCAGCTCCCAGGTGTGAACAAACAGGTTCTGCAGGCTTCCTGTCCATCCTGCAGAATTCCCAGGTGGTTGTCCAGCCGCCCCACCCCCACCCCACTCCCCACCCCTGCTCTGGGCTGCCAGCTCAGGGAGCTTGGCTCAGATCAGGCAGAGCCACACTGAGCCTTTGTCACCTTCCACTTGCTTAGCCCAGGCTGACACCCAGCAGGGACAGCTTGGAACTGGATGTAGGTCCAATAGGGACAGTGGGGGCTGGGGCAGGCTCTGTTTCTGCTGCCCAGACTGGGCACCAAACCAGGAGGGATTGACCAATGGCCAAAGAGGACTAGCTGGGCCCCTTGGGGGCAAGCAGGGCTTGGCAGGAAAAGGCAACAAGGACAGCCGTCAGCAGGGCTGGGACAGGGGAGGGCCTAGACCTCGGCCAGCTGGCACTCAGGTGAGGCCGGGCCGCATACACAGGAGCTTGGGGCCCCACCACGCTGTGGCACCCGCCTCCTGAGCCTCTCTCCCGCCACGCCTCCCGTTCCTCCCGCCAGTGGGCTGCACTTACATGACCACCAGGGCCGCCTCCCGGGAGTAGTCCAGCAGGATCTCATTCAGTCTCACCTGCCGAAGGGACTGGGGCAAGGGGAAGCCGGGCGGTCACCTCCCACGTCCTTGGGAGCAGCGGCACCCCTGCCAAGGCCACTGGACGGTGACTGACTCTCCTAAAAGACTAGACTCTCCCGCCCCAGGAGGGAAGGGGACCCTCGTCACAATCAAGCACCAAGTTCGCCTGCTCCCAGAAGCCACTGGGGCTTTTCCTTGCCTGACTTTCTGGCCATGTCCAGCAGGAAAGTGGGAAGAGGGAGCTTGACTGGGCTCAAAACTCAGCCTGGGCACTTCCCAGCAGAGAGCACCTTGGGCTTCCTGAGCCTCACAAGGTATGAAATGTCCTGGGGGTGGGGGACGTGGGGAGGGTCCTGTGAGATAACCGCGCAGAGCACCAGGCAGAGGGCCTGGTTGGTTACAAAGAAACCCTGAATGAAAGACTAGGAAATGCAGAGCAGGGAGGGTCCACTCCCTGCCACAGACCATGGGGGGACTTCCTGTGCACTTTATCCAGAATTTTCCAAAGTGTCAGCTGGCTGCATAAGTCCTGGGGTCAGGGGCTTCTCCAGAGTGTGTGTGTGGTGCTGTCTTTACATTGTTCAGAAGTGATTGACATCAAGATCTGAGAGCAGGTGGACACCCCATTTTAGAGAATAGAAAACTGAGGGGCGGTGACTTAGCCCACATCAGGGATTCTCAACCTCTCGTTATGCGCATTTCCGGTGGACATTTTTTTGTTGTTGTTATGACCCGGACTGTGCATTGTAGGGTGTTGAGAGCAACCCTCATTCCCCAGGTGTGACATCCAAGAATGTTTCAAAATGTCCCAAGGGGACAACATCACCCCCAGTGGAGAGCAGTAGAGCTCAAGGATTGGCGAGCCTGGGCCACTGCAGTCTGTCCCCAGGGCCCTGGGCCTCCAGCTGCTCACCCCACCTTGAAGAAGAGCCCCCACCGTGCACACGCCCTCTCTCAGCCCTACCAGAGTCCTGACTGTCCTGTCTGGGAAGGGGCGGCTGCGGCATTGCCTGCATCTAGGCTGCGGGCACAGACTGAGGGAGATGAGGCAGCTCTGTCCATCACGGGACAAGTGACACTCCAACCCACACACCTGAGTCACGAATCCTTCCACCAGGTGTGGAGAAATGGGGGAGGAGAGGGAGGACTCCCGCCAGTTCCTGCCCACTGCTGGGGACATTAATGGGCAGAAGGATCAGGCTCTCGAGCCAAGGACAGCACTGGGTTCACAGCCGGTCACCTGTGAGCCCAAGCATTTGTGGCCTGAGGATACCGCAGAGGCTGGGAGTCAAGGGCAGCTGGGCTCAGGAAGCTCGTCCCCACCCAGCAAGGCCTGCCCTCTCTGGCACCTTGATCCTGTTCTTGTTGACCTCCTCATCTGAGATCTTCCACGGGCAGTCCCGCCTCATCTCGGCCACGGTGGCCTCGTCCTTGAAGCCATCGTTCAGGCGGAAGGGCGCAATCATGTCCTCAAAGCGCTTGGTGCTGGAGAGAGAACACAGGAGAGGCCCGTGAGATGGCCCCATCTACAGAGAAACCAGGACCCTGGAGGGAGCTAGAGGGGAGGTCACGGGGACACAGAGTGGGGCCCAACAATGGCCCCAGGGTGGACTTAGGCTCGGCCACTTAGATCTGGAGTTCCACCAGACTTCTCCAAGCCATCCTCAGTGGTGGGCCCGGACTCTACCCGCCCCTGCACTCAGCAGGCGGTCACTGGCCAGGTCTGTGTCAGGTTCTGAGCCACACAACAGACTCCAGGTCAGACTGTGCCCGCTCCTGGATCCCGTGCTCTGATGCAGTAAGTAAAGAGGCAAATAAATACAAAGTGGGGGATTTATAAATGTATAAACCGAGTCCTGGTATAGAGAAAATCAGGGTCAGGAGAATCCTTGGGAGGGCTGAGGAGTCTGTCCTGAAGCCAGCTATGCACAGGTGGAGGTGGGGAGCAGTGGCTAGAGCAAACCGAACTGAATGTGCAAAGGTCCTGAGGTGTGGTAGGTGGCCTGCATGAAGTGCAGCCAAAGAGCCCAAGGGGCTGGAACAAGGTCGCAGCCAACAGCAGGTCTGCAGGGCACACCGCTGGCCTTTCTGCTTGGATCCCCTGACACAGAGAACTCACTGCTCCGCCCGCGGCTTCTGATTGATGTCAGGAAGGACATGAACTTCATGAAATCCCAGTCGGAACTTGCTCAACAGAGAAATGATCCTGGAGGGCAGGGGAGACTTTTTAAGTGTATTCATTCGTTCGATGACATTTTATTAAGTTTCTGCTGTTGACAGCTGTGAGCCAAACAGACCCCATCCTGCCCCTTGGCATTGCCATTCTAACAGAGGAGGAGGGACAGACAATCAGGGTCACCAATGAAGCAGGTCAGCTCATGACAAGTGACGCAGAAAAGCATGACCAGGATTTCCCAAGCATCTGGTGGCCACCTCTGTCTTAGTGCCTGGCAATCATTAACGCCCGTGTCTACACCTCTGCTGAGACTTTGTGACAATGTCCATTCTGATTCACTGGTCTGGCTGGGGCCAGGGATTCTGCATCTCTAACCAACTCCCAGGGATCCAACGCTACCAGGCCACCGGGGCCAGGACAGTTGGAAAAGAGGAAATTAAAATTCCAGAGGGAACCAAAGAAATGTTAGAACCGGGCAGAGAAGCAGGAGGGGCAGAGAAGCAGGAGGGGCCTCTTTGGATTTAACAGGACAGGAGAGGCCACTGTGGTGGGAGCGGTCAGGAGGATGACACAGAGTGGGTAGCGATCTGGCTGGACAGTGCGTCGTGGAGATGGTTGAAGGCCAAAGGGGTTTGGGCAGGGGGATGTCCATAATGACATTTATTGTCAGTCCTGGGAATTGAACCCAGAGCCTTGCACTTGCTGGACGAGCGCTCTACCACCGAGACGCATCCCCAGGCCAGAGTCCACACTGGAACAGCCCAAGGGGCCTTCAGAACAGCGCGCTGCCTGGTGCTAGCCTGCCTGCTGAGTCACACTCCCCAGGCAGGGCAGGTCTTGGTAAGGCCACACAGGGTCCCAGTGTGCCCCCTGGGTTAGGGCCTGCTGGACTCACTAGTGGGGAGGAATGGGCAGGGCAGCGATGGCAAAGAGCCAGCTGGGATAGCTTGGAGCTTCTGGAAGACCAGCCTGAATGACCAGCTGGGCCCAGCAGTCAAGCAACGGCTGGTTCTTGAACTTGGGGGAGCAGGATTTGGAAAGCAGAGCTGTGGGCAGGTCCATCTTGTTGTGCGGCAGTGGCCAGGGCCAGCAGGCCTGGGCAGCATCTGGGCAGGTGGCAGCGTAGGCCTGCCCTGGGGTCACAGAGAGAGCAGGTCACATGGCCCATGAAGGTCACGGTTGGGTGGCAGAGGAGTGAGTGTTCACAACCTCTGTGCGAAGGGCATGCAGTGCCAGGCCTTGGGCTCAGCCAGCTGTACTGACCACCCCCTGCCCAGGCCTGAACCGGAAGCCGAGGCCCTGACGGCGAAGGTGCTTTTCAGACACCCCAGGGGCCAGCAGCTACTGTTCCCAAGCAGTGCCTCCTCGGCCTTGCACAGAAGGGACCTTTGAGTGGCAAAGTCCTCAGTGGGATGACAACAAGGAAATGGGGCTTCTGGGGTGAGCAGAGGGGGAGCTCATGGGTGTGGCCCAGGCATGGACCAGGGCAGCGGCCAGGACTCCCCTCTTGTCCTGACCACCGTGTCACAGCCAGGGCTGCTGCAGAGGGCACTGCAGACCCTAGTGCAAGGGTTCCTCCCTCTGCCTATTAAACTGCAGACCCCCACCCCGCGACCTCTGACCTCCCGTGACCTTGCTGTGAAGCAGCAGTTGCCCGACCCCACCTGCCCGACTCCTGCCAAGTCCACACCTCCGGCCACCTGCCTCACTGTCCACCTCCTTGTCTGTTTACAAACCCACACGTGTTCCAAATGAGGGCTGTGATTTGAATATGGTTTGTCCCCTGAACTCACGGTGAAGTCCAAACCCCAGCGAAAGGAGGGTGGAAACCTAATCTGGCTGTGCTGTTTGCGGGGAGGAGGTGAACTCTGGGAAGTGATTAGGGCTGGATAAGGTGCCCCAAGATTGAATCCTGATGGCTTTATGTGAAGAGGGAGAGAGACCAGATACACACAGCCACTTTTGCCTTCCTTCCCTGTCTCTTGCCATGTGAAACCCTGAGCCACTTGGGGACTTTGCCAGCAAGAAGGCTATCACCAGATAGAACCCCTGGACCTTGCATCTCCAGAAGCATGAGCCGAAACAAACCTCTTTTTTTCTATAAAGTGGACTGCCTCAGGTATGTCAATATAGTAATGAAAACCAACTAATACACTTAGATACATCAAAAGGAATTTTTATATTACAATTTGAAACACAAAATAGCATGTCTTGGCAGAAAGAGGTGATACTTAAAATCCAAGTAAATAAACCAGAGTCACTAAATTCTGGCCAAGTCTGTGAGCTTAGACCTGCTCTCTTGCTTAGACAGGGAGCTCAGCATGGCTACTGAGGGGGACAAACCAACACTAAACCAAGATCTTCTCCCACCAAATCAGCCACAGAGTTGAAGGGGGATTAAAAATCACTTCTCACGGAAAGAATCAGTGGTATAGTGTGGCTCCATCTCCTGGCCACTCAGGTCATCTCTCACCTCCCAGAGCCCATGTCCTACACTCTGGAGACATTGCCCTCAAAGATTCCATCTCCTGTCTCCTTTCTCAGGAGGAAGGGGCCCCTCCCGCCTTCGTTTCACATGGGTTTCTCCTTGAGGAGTTGGGGATTTTGAATCTTAACACCCCTCCCTGTCAGAGCAAAGCCCAGGGTGTGGGTATCTGATTAAAGGGGGACAAGAAGTCACTGCTGAACTTCGCTCCTGGCCAGAACCCCCCTTGCCATCACTGTGGCCTGGAGAGAGCCTGCCCAAGCTCTGGGCAATTCCAAGGCCCACCTGAGGGTGGCGGTGGAGAGCAGGGGACGGGAGGGGCCCCCACTTACGCCTTCCTCTCCTGGTCCATCCTGTTGACCTGGCCCCCAACGAACACCCGGATCTTGCATTTGCTCCACCTCTTCTTGCGTCGAAGGAGATAGGGGATGAGGAGGGTGAGGCCTGGCAAGGAGGGTCCCCAGAAACCAAGAGGAAAATGCTCAGGGACAGCCCCTGGTGGGTTCCTGTCCCTTCCTACAACCATGGGCAGACCCCTCCCCCTCTCTGGACCTTGGTTTTCCTGCCTGCATCAGAACTCACCTGGCTAAACCCCAGTGGCCATGGTGCCTGGTGTCTAGGGTCTACTTGGCAGCGGTGTTTTAAAATATTTTTAATTTTCACCACAAGTTGGTAGTGAACGGTGGGGGGATTGCATATGGACATCTAGAGAGAGGGCCTTTCTGGAAAATTGAACATTTGGCCAATGGGTGGGAGCCTGCATCCCTCTCTGTCATGCCTCCATGTGAGACCAAGGACCAGCCACTGAGTTCAAGGCCTGGTCCTCCATGCTCTGGTCTCTTTATTTGTAAAAGAGATAACGTTAGGTTAGAGCACTGGCCAGAGGTAGGCAGTCAGCGCTCAGCCTGAGTTATCTGTCATTGATAGCACATACAGTCCTCCTCTGTGTCCACAGGGGATTGCATCCAGGGCCCCCTTTGTGCCGAATCCACCTGTGCCCAAGTCCTCTGTATAAAAGGACATAGAATTTGCATGTCACCTACCCACATCCTCCTGTGTACTTTACACCATCTCCTAGAATGCCAGCTACAATGTAAATCTGTGCAAATAGTTGTTGCACTTTATTGTTGGGAAATAATGACAAGGACAAAGTCTGTACAGGTTCTATACAGACACAATGTTTTTTCTGAACATTTTCAACCTGTGCTTGGTCAGAAGTGTGGAGGTGGCACCTGGGGACCCGGAGGCTTGGTTGTCCTCTTTTGAAGAGGGGTATTTTCTATGACTCTGTCAGAGGTGGGAACTATAAAGACAAGAGTCATGTTTTAGGGAAAATAGGACAGGTGTGTTCTGTGAAGAGTATTCCTATGGCTGTCCTGTGCACTGGCCCCTGTCCCCAACTCTGCCGGTGGCTGGGACCCCCAGGACTATCCAGTGAGAAGGTTCTTCTGAGGTTGGCCTCAGCCCTGCCCCCATCTCTCTCCACTTCACAACTGAAAAAGCTAGATGCCAGGGACAGGGGCCCCCCCGGACGCCCTGGCCAAGCCCATCCAATTACTCAACCCAGTTATCCAGGGGTCTGGGCCCCTGCCCACTTTGCTGGACTCCAGGTCCAAGCAGAGGCCTTGACAAGAGCCAGCCAGGAAGGACAGGGCAAGAGATGCAGGGACAGACAGGGAAGACGTCCTAGGGCATGAGGGAGCCACATCTGAGGAGTCCTGACCTCCATCATCAAAGAGCCAGTAGATGTCCACAGTCTTCTTGCCCTGCTCGGACTGGAAGATGGTGCTGGCCTGCTCCTCCCGCACCAGGGCCTCAGGGTCCACTGCAGGAGGGGAGGGGGTCAGAGCAGCCAGCCTCCTGGAAACGGCTTGCTCCCTGGGAGGTGGGCTTGCCGTTCAGGCCCAGACTGTGCCCGCAGCAGCAGACGCAGCTGAGCAGGCCTGGCCAGGGTAGTGCACTTCCCTCCTGGAGCCAGAACTCGGATTCTCAGGCGGGCAGACCAGGAGCGGGGACCCTGGGAACACAGGCTGCCGCATGCCCCCCTGCTTTCAGCTTCTCCATCCCCAGGCTCCAGCCAGGGGGACCCCGTGCCCTCCAGGGCAGCCCTCTGGGAGGAAGCATGCTCTTCCAACCCTTGCACACTCTCCTGGGCCCCTCAGGAACGCCACAGGAGTCCCCTGTGCCTGTGGCAGCTTCCCCTGTCTCCCAGGGCATCAGCAGAAGACTGCCATCCTACCCCTCCCTGAGCCTACACTCGGACAGGTCCCACAGGGGCTTTGCAGGGACCTGGGTCCTGGAGGCCCAGCGTCTCCACCAGGACCTGCGCTCTTGAACAGGGGCCTCGCCCATCGGGTTACTCAGCCCAGTTAGGCAGCTGCTGCTATCACTAGGAACACCATCCGCCTTTGACCGAGTCCCCAGGTGGCTACCACTAGCCCCTGCTAGGCCAGAACACCCTGAGCCTCCCAGTGGGTGGGGACTGACGTGTGCCTGACACAGATGGCCTGGCCTCGCGGGCGCTGGTGCCCTTGCTGTCCTCCGCCGGGTCAAACACAGGATTAACTGTAAAAGAGGGGTATCTGGGGTTGCAAGATACCCTCAGCGGGGCCCCCTGGGTTCTCCATCTAGCAGGGCTCCCTGAACACTGGGAGGAGAGTCCCACGGCCCCACCACACCCAGACCCGCCTCCCTCTGCCCTGGCCCTGCCCTGGCCCCTCTTGCTCCTCCAACAGGCTAAGCTCATGCCCACCTGGTGGTGAGGATGCCTCTTTGCTGGGGACAGCTTTCCCCAGCCCTGCCCCTCACGGCCAAAGGCCTGCCCTGGACACCTGTGCTGTCTGCCAGACACTAGATGACGAGTGTCCGCTTGTACAGATCTGCTTTGCCCCAGGGACAGGGGCTTTGTTTGGCCCTCGCTGTACCCACAGTGCCTACAGCAGCACAGGAGCATGGCTACCGACTTGGTCACTATTGGTTGGATAAATATTTATTGGCCAGCTCCCTGGACCAGGTACACCCTCAGCCCTCAGTGACATGTTCCAGAGTCCCCTACCAGGCTCCCAGCTCTGCCCTCCCCCTGGCTCCCTGAATTTTATGTCTTTTACATTTCTAAACACTAGTAATTCAGAGTCTGCAGAGTTGGACTTTTAAATGGAAAACACAATCCTGTTTCATGCCCCCAAAGGTGTCCTTGGAGGACATAAACATCCAGGTTCCATGGCCTTGAGGTGAGTGCTTTCCTACCCCGAGGCCTTTATGTGAACAGCTCCTCCAACCTCTTTTCCTGTTTTCTAGTAGGTTACAGAAGCACTGGGGGAGCTCCAAGCTGCCCAGGTGGAAGCATCCTCTTGGATAGTCATGTCCCCCTCTGGGCCTTAGTTTCCCCACCTGGAAACCTGATGGTCTCTAAGTGACCATCCAGGGCCGACATTCTATGAGCCTGTGACCTTTAGTTCCTTACGAATTTTCCCTCTCTTCTTTGTACTGGTTAAAGAACTTGGGTTCCAGAACTTTCTGGGATCCCCTTCTGTTCTGGGACAGCGTGTTGAGCCGGCGCTGCGTGTGCTCACCGTGAGCCTGCATGGTCTCGGAGATGTTCAGCCCCTCGCGCATCCTCAAGACACACACGCCGTAGTTGAAATCAAAGGCATCGCTGGAAAGAGGAGCAGGGGTCAGGCTCGGCTCAACCCCAGGTCCCACCCAGGAGGTGACCTGGCTCCCGGGAGACCAGGTGTCCAAGATGGCCCTGCTTCCCACCGTTCTCCTTGTCCCCTCTGGGCCTCAGTTTCCCTGTCTGTAAAGTATGCAGACACAACCAGAGAGTCGCCAGGGACCCCTTGGGGGACACTCAGTCAGGCCTGGCTTCCCCCTGGAGTGCTGGGTGAACCCTCACAGCTCTGCCACAGGGTGGGGATGTACCTTACAGGTACAAATGGAACGGTTTGTCCACAAGCACACAACCAAGGAAGGGACCAGCTGGTCACTGTGAACTGAAGGGCAGGCGTGCCCCCAGGACAGGCCTCACTCAAGCCATGGGCTGTTATAACGAGTGTCTAGAAGACTCCTGCGCATGCCCAATTGATTGCTCTATTGACACTGTGCAAAACCCACCACTTCAGTGTGAGGCAGCAGGCTGAGCACTGCATCCTTGGACTGTCCCACTCACACCTTCGGGATTGTCTTAGGACACTGGATCCCGGGGAGCCTAGAGACACTTTCTGCACCACCTTCTCTTGCAATTTCCTTAGAGGCAGTGGGAGGGTCCCCTGAGCTGTGCAGCCAGTCAACAGCTGACGGGGAAGGAGGGAGCGGGTTCCAGGGCGTCAGCTCTCAGCCTTTGCTCTTGAAGGAACGCAAGGCCTTGGGCCTCTGCAGGGAAGACCTCAGGCTGCAGGAATCAGGGGGCGGAGTCCACTCTGAGATCCCCAGGGAGTCCAGTCCTGGTCTGGTTTCCCTTCCCTTCTCAGCGACACCATCTCTTTAACAGTCCTCTGGGCCTTCTGAAGCCCACACGGAGGCTGTTGAGCTCAGACCTGCACTCCCGGCTACTCTGAAATATTAAAGATCTGGCAACAGTGAGGCCCACGTTTCTGTGTGGGTACAACTGGCTAGAGCAGCTCACCACAGTCCCCACTGCTCCCTACTGTCCTACACCTGCCTGGTCCCTGCCAAACTTCACCCTCCCTAAGCCTTGATCACAGAGGACTCAACTTCTTACAGCCCCCACTGGTTCTGGTCCACTCCCCAGGTCCAGGAGCCCCCAGTGGCACAAATCAGCAGACCCCAGGCCCACTGCCCGTGCCCTGGCTCACTGTAGGATGTCGATATAGTCTTCCACCGTGGCTGGGTGAGCAGACTGCCAGTTCTTCTTGTATCCGACCACCAGGATGTTGGGCTTCATTCTCCCCAGACCTGCAGCCTGTGTGAGGGAGTGTGGGTCAAATGGGCAGGGCTAGAGGGCCGGCCTCGCAGCTGGTGGGGCTCTGTCCTGTGACTAGGGTGGGCTTTCTCAGTCCAGCTGCCCTCTGTCCATGCTGTGGGGGCTCAGGAAAGGCATCCCCCCCTCAGGGGCCTGTCCACCTGGGCTCAGCCCCAGAAGGTGGAGCTGCAGCCAGGGCGGCCCCAGGGCCTTCTCAGAGCCAAGCCGCCTGCACTGTCCCAAGCCCTGGGAATGTGCCAGGTCCTGCTTCTCTAAAAGATTATTTCTCTTAGTGCAAGACTTGAGTTTGCCTGTCAAATTTGGAGTATTCCTGGGTCATTTCATCCACACATCTTTTCTACTTCTCTTCTTTTTTTTTAAATATTTTAAAATTTAGAAAATTTTGAGGTTAAATTCACATAATAAAAGCATTTTTAAGTGTACAATTCAAAAACATAAATTTTGAAAAATTTAAAAAACTCCAAAACAAAATACAAAAGGTACAGTTTAGTGGATCTAGCACATTTACCATGTTTAGTCAATTCATAAAACCATCACCTCTACTTCCAGAATATTTTCATAACCCCACAAAAAGATCCAGACATTTTATTTTTGTTGTTGTTGTTCTTGTTGTTTTGAAAAATAGTTATAACTATTGAGAAGGATGCTCATCTGTTGATTTAGAATTAGAAACTGTTATAATTTAATCTTTGTGTCTCATATTACATAAGAAAACTGAGCAGTAAATGAATGGCCAAGTGGAATGTTCTAGATTTATTTTTTTCTGTACTGGGGATTGAACCCGGGGCCTCCCTCGTGCATACGCAGGGCAGCTGCTCTGCCCAGGAGCTGCACCCTGAGCAAAGGCATCCTAGATCTCTAGATCTCGAGCTGAGTGGCAGCCAGGTGCACCAGGTGGGGCCTAGACCCACGGACACTATTGGTCTCTCACTAAACTGTTTTTCACTTTACTTTATGTAAATTATACCTGAGGAAAAAAAACTAAAAAACAAAAAACAGCAACTGGCCAAGGTCACAGAACCCCTACAGGCTTCCATATCAGTTGCCCTAGTCCCAAGGCTCAGAACGTGCCCACCCGTGCGAGTAGATCTGGGGGTGCAAGAAGGTGGGGGGGCTTCTTGTTGCAGCAAACAGGCCTTAAACTGGATCCCCAGGGTTCTCTGCCTTTCGGGGTGCTTCTGAAGTAACAAGCCCCGCAGGGAGGCTCCCAGACCCGCCACACCTGCATAAGAATCTGCACACCGCTGCGGAGGTCCTCGGCGATGACGTCAGAGTAGAAGGCCTTGATCTTCCTCTTGTTCAGCCACTTGGTGTGCCCCTGGGCAATGAGCCGCAGCTCGGGCATCCTCTGCTTTCGGGGTCCCTGTGGGCGGGTGGGGCAGGTGATATCAGGGGCTGCCTTCGCCCTCTGGCCTGGGATCCAGTCCCCCTCCTGGCCCACAGTCCCCCTCTGCCCTGGGATCCAGTCCCCCTCCTGGCCCACAGTCCCCCTCTGCCCTGGGATTCAGTCCCCCTCTGGCCTGGGATTCAGTCCCCCTCCTGGCCCACGGTCCCCCT